GTTTTCCTCCCTCCAGTCTTGCCATTCTTCAAGTCCTTTTTCTCAGAGAAGTCTGATTTGTCATGTAAAATGACACTGATCATGTTGAAATTCTTCATACTTACTACCAGTATTATCCTTAAAAAAGAAATCTAAACTCCTTAATTTATCCAACAGTGTGCCTTATAACCTGGCCCCTGTTCACTCTCCAGCTCTGTCTAGAATTTAGTTCCAAAGTATATTTCCTTTCTATTCACGGACCTTCACCAATTTTGTGAACTATGTAGAAAACTTTTTTTCATGCTATAACTTGGTCATTTCTTTGGTCATATTCTCATACCTGGAGCCAATCAGACTGAACTGCTTGTTGATTTTTTTAAATTATTTGTTTTCCCATAACAATGTAAACTCTGTCAGGGCAGGTATTGGGTTGATTCTCAACGCATCTGTTTGCTCACTACTATTATCTTCAGTATATAGCTCACTGTTTCACACAAAAGTAGGGCTCAATTATTATTTTGGAATAAACGAGGTTCAAGGAGCAGGGGAAAAAAAATCAACTAAGATTGTGAAAAAAGGAAAGCCCTCTTGGAAGACTTCTAAAAAATAAAAGTAAAGTAACGATGAAGGAAAGAAAATAAGAATGGTCCAGATAGAGTCACCAAGAATATTTTTCAAAGATGATTTTAAAACAGTCTGATGAATGGGCAGTGTGTATGATGATAGGAATGGAAAAGTAACAGTGGCAAAATCATGGAGGGTCTAGCAGCCTACCAGGCTAAGGATTCAAACATAATTTTGGAGGTGATTAAAGAGGGGGTACAGACATTTAAGTAGAAAAGTAAACTGTTCGATGTCTAGTCGCAGATTTATATTTGAGACTAGACATTTTGCCATTGGGTGGGATCCAAGGAGGTCCTCCAAAGAGCAGGTAGGGAGCTCAACTCACCCCACCCACAGGGTAGGTTGTAAGTTCCCTGCTTCCAATTACAGATAAAGAATTTTCAGGACACATCACTAAGAGGCACTTAAGAAAGGTTTATTAGGTGGGATTTAGGAAGTATACACAGCAAGAATAGAGTATAAGTCTTCTTCTTCGAGATGAATTAATTATGGTCTGGGGTTAGGGGTTTTCTTGTGGTCCTAGTGTTAACTTCAAGATGTATGGATCTAGGATGTGTATTCACACTGTCTGCCAGGCCACCCATTTGGTGGGCTATGTAAGAATGCAATCTATTTGCATATGCTTGAAGTTTAGAGATCTGCTGCCCAGTTAATAGCTCTGCTTCCTTAAAGTTGGAGCTATGTGTGAGGAAATGCAATTTAAAGGTAAAAACTATTAGTCCAGCCCGAATTTATAGACATTGTGTTTTCCAGACCTTTAGGAATTCTTTTGAAGTGAGTTTCCTGGATGGAAAAATGCATTGTGACCTTGGGTAACTTTTGTGTCCTGAAACTGCAGTTTTCCTTAAAAGTACCATTTTAAAATTATGATTTTCCTTGTCTCCTTTTTACCTATGTTTATTTTTCTATCCTTCCTTAATAGTGGCTGCTTACAAGACAGACTTGGTTGTGTAGGTAGGGGTAGAATGGGTAGATGCAGTGACACAGAATTGATAATGGAAATGAAAGGATGAATTGCACAGTCTGAAGTAAAGGCAATTAAAGTCTGAAGCTCAAAGAAGACAGATATAGCAGTAGTATTAGGATCCAGGAGCAGATACATTAGGTTAAAACAATGAAAGCAGATGCTACACATGAGGAAGATACAGGCAAAAAACCTCAAGGTTGAAACTTTTGAGAAATACTGTTTAAAGGACAGGCAGAGAAAGAATCCACTAAGATGCATGATGCATGAGACCAGCAGAAAAAAAAAAAGGGAGCAATATAAAACAAGAGTCTGCTTAGTTGTATCGAATGTAGCAGAGAGGTCTAGAAAGAGAAGCCGTGAACAGCACCGGTGGAAGAAGTATATTCTATCTTCTCAGATAGACAAGAGCAAAGTAGATAAATGTGGCACTGAGGGAAGTATGGAAGCAGGACATTAAAGTATATACTGAATGAGTCTTTCATTTTCTCAAATAACTGGGAAGAAGGTACTGGAATCTATATGCAAATAAGTGAATGACTGAGGCCACGTAGAGCCCCATTTCAGTACTTCATCTATTCCTACTATGTTAAGTCAAATGAATCAACATTTTGTCTTTACTGATACATTAAAATAAAACAGAAATAAAAGTTGGAACCCCTGTCATTTAAAAGAGAGATTTTTCTTAAAGCACTAGTTAGCACAAGGATGCCATCTGCATTAAAGTCTCATTTGTAGGCCACCATGGTCTCACTGAGTGTCATGTCACTCAAAAATGCATTCAGTCTGTAGAGGTCTATCATCAGCCTTTAAAGAGCAATCTAGAAGAGGAACAGGTAATTAAAAAGAAAAGAAACAGTCACTAGCAAATAGCAGGAATATGTATTAAGTGCTTGAAAAATACCTTTTTAGACTGTTTTGGTCACCTTCAAGTAGAGAAGAGTTGAAAGGGGATGGAGATAGGTGATAAAGAGTTGTGAGAAATCACTGAAAGTTACAGGATAAGAAATTGACTAATGGTAACTTAAGGCACTGTACAGAACTGGGAAGTGCTGAGTTTGGATTCTAAGAATCTGTTTTATGTTATTTGATGCTACAGTCAAAAGGAATATAGACAGTCTTTAACTGATGATGGTTCTGCTTGAGTTTTCAACTTTACAATGGTACAAAAACAATACACATTCAATAGAAACCATACTTCAAATTTTGTTTGTTTGTTTGTTTTTTCCAGTACTGGGAATCAAACTCAGGACCTGGCGTGTGCCAGGCAGGCGCTGTGCCACTGAGCTAAATCCCCAGTCCCTCATACTTCAAATTTTGAATTTTTTCCTACACCAGCATTATGCCATAGAGTACCATCTGGGACTCAGCATCCAGTCAGCCACACTATCAAGAAGTGCAATGTTGGGGCTGCGAATATAGCTCCATGGCATAAGCACCTGCCTGGCAAGCACAAGATCCTGTGTTCAACTTCCAGTTCAAAAAAAAAAAAAAAAGAAGTGCAGTGATAATCTACAATATACTAGGTTGCTAAACTATCATGTTTGGTGGGCTAGTTGTATTACATACATTTATGACTTAAAATATTTTGAACTTACAGTGGGTTAACAACAAGTAACCCTGTTGTAGTCTGAGGAGCATCTTTGTATCACATTTTAATTTTCTGCAGTAGTTAGTGGCTTTACAGTGATGACAAAACTCTAGAAAGTCTAGGGTAAGAATTCTGCTATTTTATTCTTTACCACACACCAAATTTTGAAAAAGTTATATTTATTCTTTTAACTGAGATAATGTGAACGAACAACAGTTTTATTTAAATAATTTAAATTCTAAGAAAATCCTACTTAACCTATCAGTTATAGTGGCATTATTCTCTCAAATTTTTATTGTACATAAAGTATTTTCTTGCCCTGCTCTTTTCTTTTGTCAACTCATTTTGCTTTCATGAAATATTCTAATCTTGCCTTTCATATAGGTCTTTCATTTCTTGTCTAGACTCTCAACAACAGTTGAGGCATTTGTTGAGCATTTACCATTTGCAAGATAGTTTTACAATTAATAATGGGTGAAATACCATCTAATACTTATTGAGAGGTCAAAATTCTGTCAGGCACTTAAAAATTCATTTAATCTTCATGACACTTTATAAAGCAGATAGGTCTGTTATTACAATTTTAAACACACGGAAACCATCTCAGCTACTTTAAACGAGTTGCCTAAACTCACTTGGTAAGTGGGATGGTCTGACTTCGGAGACTGACTTCGCAGTTGTGTTCACAAGCACTAAACTAGGCTCTCCTTCCTGCTTCTAAGGAGTAATTAGCACATGCCAATGAGAAAGATCTTCTTGTCTTTTCCTCACTTCACTGTGTTTCACATTTTTTATAAACTTATTTTTCTACCTGCTTTTGGGTTTTATTAGATTCTGACTCAGACTTGTATCAGTAAGTAAACCTTGAAAAGGAAACTACTGAATATGAAATGTATTTTTATTCAGAACTAATATGGATTTCTGTATCAATAAGTGTAAATCTTTTACCCACATAAAAAAGCACCAGAAGGCTTGCCTATTTTCAACACAACTTTTCTCGCGGTATTTTTGACGTCATTCAGGTCAGACTCCATCCACAAGAATTAAATTCTCTGGTGCCCAAACCTAAATAAAACTTAAAGCATTTTCCTCTGGCAACACTCACTAGGTCTTCTGCAAGATGCTGACATATTAAATGCGGTGTTTTCACTTTGAGCTTTAAAATCCACGTTAAAAAAAAATACAGATTTCTGGGCCTCTTATCCCGAGACTAACTCATCCAGACCGGGGGGTGAGGGGCAGAGCCTGGAGGGGGCGATGTGCGCAGAGAAAAAAAGCTAAGATGGGGAGACCTGGAGGAATCGACTTCAGGAGGTGCCACTTTGAACAAATCGCCTTTCTCCCAGCTCAGTTTTCCTGACTGTGAACGCGAGAGGACTTCAGCACGGAAAGTGTTAGGTTCATTTCACTTCTCGTTCACCTAGGCAGACCCAGGTGATCGGTGTCCGTATCCTCGCCAGACTACTCTGACTACTGCGCGTGGCTTACGGCCAGTTACATAATATCTCTCTGTGACTTACGGCCCTCTTTTGACAGCATGATAATATCTATCCACTCCCGACCCCAGCGTTTTCATAAAGCTTGTATGAGATAACGTCTACAAGAGCATCTGCGAGCTCTAGGGTCTCTGCTTAACAAATACTGATGTTATTTTGCTGAGACTCTGACTTACCCTTGATTCGCTGATAGCCCCACGTTCCTTCTTTTCGGTCACCCTGTGCTTAAAGAAAGTCTCCTAACACCGTCCGCTCCTTTTTGCTCTGCACGTGGAACACCAGGTGCTCTCAGAGTTCTGGGGATGTTACTGAAGGAACGCCCACCCCTGACTCCGCCCCCAGCAGCGGCGCTGCCCCTTCCCGCGAAATTGTGGTTCCGACTAGAAACTAGGTCCTAAGGAACAACGGTTCCGCCTGCCTGGAGCCCTACATTCTCTCGCATACTTAGGCCCTACAGTCTTTGAGACTTTTGAGCCCTACCGGCACCCATCACGCAGTAGGCTGGGCAGAAAGAGGCGGGGCTTCCAGTGGAAGCGGCAGGTTTGAAAAGTGGAAACGGTTGGCGTTTGAGGATATTCGACTGTAACCACTCGGCGAATTACCCTTCTGGTCGGCTGCTGAGGCAGTAGGTGAGCACGAGCAGGCGCGGGCGGACCGGGGAGGGAGACAGAGGGGTCCTACAGCTTCTCAGGCCTCGGGAAACTGCCCCGAGTGTTTTCATAGCGCCCAGCACTGGGGACCAGGCGGGGGAAACCAGCGCCTGAAAAGTGGAGGGCCAGCCCCTAGCTCCTGTTCCGTCGATTTTAGTCCCCGAAAGACCCGAGGTCGATTTCTAAGACACTAATGGGTGTTATCTGTGTAGTGTGGACGGGGAAGAGAGAGACTCGACCTGAAGCAGGTTAATTTAAGCTTGTGTTTATGTATGTCTGGGAGAGTGATGTTAAGAGAGCTTGACTGGTTGCTTTTGCTCAACTTTCTGTGGATCTTCATTACTCAAATATTTCTTAGCCACATCCAAAATTATATGAACCAAGGGTGAAAAATACCATAATCCAAAAGTAAAGGATCGGACTGTCCTCGGGCGCTGTTTCCCCTCCTCCCCCTTGTATGAGTTCCAGGCGCATCTAATTTAACTGGTTGAGATATTGGGAGTTATTTCTGTTTACTTTTGTTTAATCTTTTCCTCTTGTAAATGTTAGGAACGTTTAGAAAAACGAAGCGTGTAAGGTTTAACAGATAATTCTTTCAATACCTGCTGTCCTCAACGTAAGGTATTGCAAATAAATGAGTCTCTGAGAGGAAATTAGCAGATAGTCTGTGCTACTGGCTAGACTACCAAATGGTCGTTTTACATATACGTACTGAGTGTGTGTATCTATGTATTTTATCCCATTTAAAAATTCGAATTATGTAGTTGAAAGTTCTCTTTCTGTGCGCGAGCGGGAACAACCATACACACATACCCACACACAGGAATACACTGAAACTGCATTTGTACTATGAAGGAATAACCGAATTTGGATATGGGAAATCGTCTGTCCCAAAATGAAACAACTTAGAGCGGATAGTTCATTAGATTATTCAAGATTTTAGAAACCAAGCACATAAATTTAAATTTGATGTGGTGGATAAGGTAATTCAAGTGTTTTTGTTCAAATGTTACACGATGCATTACGTGTTTTATAAGCATTAACCCAAGAACCAAGTGTATAGAACATTGCAGAGAGATGTGTGATAATAATTATGAAGATATATTACACCTACTCTTTCTGTTGTGATACTAAAATCTCTAATCCAGATGTTTATTTTGGAAAAGTAAACTGTTTTTGCAGTTTTTCCTTTTACCAACAGTTTTTAAATCTGTCTTAGATGAAAAAATACAATGCATGTGTAGGGAAGTGTTGTGTTTACTCTTGTCCTACTTGAAGGTTTGATAATATTAGTCTGTGAAATAAATAACAATAGAAGATTTAAAGGAAAAACACCAGAATTTATTATGTCTCTAAGTACAGAAGTATGAGAACCAAAGGGATAAACAAAAAGAGAGGTTTGTGCTTCTAGGGGGAAGGGCGGTAGCTACAGGGTTTGGAAGTATGAGGGGAAGATGTGTAGGGTGAGCAGGGTTATCTTTTGGGGGGGGGTTATCTTGTTATACTAAAAGCCTCCCAGGGGGCTGGGGATTTAGCTCAGCGACAAAGCGCCTGCCTGGCAAGCGCAAGGTCTTGAGTTCGGTTCCTGGTACCGGAGAAAAAACAAAAAAAAAAAATTAAAAGCCTCCCAGGTGACGGCCACCTCTGGTTGTCTGTGTGGGCCAGACCAAACTCATTCTCTCCCTGTGCATAAATCTTCCCTATGCAGAAACGACAGTGGCTGATAGAAAAGCTTCTGCCTGTTTTTACTGTTTACAAATGTAGAGAAGTATTTATAAATTTATTTTTACAAAATGACAGCTTTTGAGTGCTATTTCTGTGCCTGTAGAAGTATGCAGTTTCTCTCCAAAATCAACTGGAAATATACCAAAAGAATATATTTAGGATGGGATATTTCACTTTTCTACACATTTATGCTGGGAAAAGGGACACCTAACCATGTGAAGTATCCAAATCTAGATTCAAAATGATTTTGACTTTAAAATAAAGGTTTGCAATCAGAAAATTTAAGGTACACATAATAATAAGTTAAGAACATGGGGAAATCCTGGCTGATATAAGTGGATCACGTTGAAGAAGTTCTTAAGAGTTTCGTTGATCATAAGCATATATTTGTAAGTGCTACAACTATAGTTTAGGTCCGGAGGCCATTCTTGCTATATTAATAATCTGCCCTATGCCCACTAGATGGAGTGCTGTATTTAATTTTGACATTGCATTTTAAGAAGACATTGATAATATTTTAGAAGAGAGTAAGCAAGATCATGTGATATTGTGAAATATATATTTGATCTTTGTCTTTGAGTTGTTGATACACAACTAAAATCCTTGGAACCTGCAGAATGCTAAGTGTGTTTTTGTATACTAATGGTTGACTGATAGCTGGCAGCCTCTAACTACCAGAAGACAGGATGGTAATCTAAAAGATCCTGGCAAGTTTAGAGAGTTGGGACTCTCAAGCCCATGCTCCAATCTCTGGAAAGGGAGCTACTAAAAGTTAAGCTGATCATCCATGACCAGTCATCGCTACTTAATAAATCTTCCATAAAAGTCCAAACTGATCATGTTTGAGGAACCAAATGCCTGGAGATCCCTGGAGTTTGCATGCTCCATCCCCCATACCTTTCTGTATTCATCTTTTATCCAGTGTTCATCTCTTATAATATTGTTTATAATAAACAGTAAATGTGTTCATGAGTTCTGTGAGCTGCCCTAGCAAATTAATCGCCTTCAAGGAAAGGACAATGGGAACCCCAGTATATGGCATGTTTGTCAAAAACAGGAAAATAGCCTAGGACTTGCAATTGGCATATCAAGTGGGGGTGGCGGCAGTGTTGAGGACTATGTCCCTCAGCCTTGTGGACCTTAATAACTTGTGATACTGTCTCTAGGTAGTTAGTGTCAGAATTAGAGGATACTGGGCTGGACTGCATTATTCCTTGCTCCCTTGGTAGGTGGGGGGCCCAAGTTTTCTATGTTGATTGTTGAATAAGTAGAGTAAGAAAAAAAAAAATTTTTCCCCCCACACAGAGTATTTTCCAAATCAATGTCATACAAGGAGTGCTTAGATGGAAAGAAATTGAACTTAAACTGGAAGAAGAGAAGGCTTAGCAGAGACATAGCTTTCATCACATTTTTAAAAGAAGTGTCACATAAGCAGAGATTAATATATTTTATGTAGCTGCAATGACCAGAAATTGGACCAGCAGGTGAAAGCTACAACATATAGTTCTGTGCACTGTGAGGAAGGTTTATCTAATTATTAGAGCCTTGTGGAAGTTGGAGAAAGTTGCTTTGAGTTAGTGAATTCTGTGATGTTTTCAAGGGTTCAATCAGAACTAGGAAGTTATTTGACAGTCGTCTTGGAGAAAGGCCTCCTACATTTATTAGAGGCGAGGAACCTTGCCAAAGCTTCTTTTTAACCCTCATATTCTAGGAAACATTAGAGCCTAAGAAGTAGATTTCCAGGATTGCAGACCATTTTAGTTTGCAAAATTGAATATATTTATGTTGAGTCTTTGGGGTATGCTGCTTCACTGGGGAATGGGGGAATCTCTGGATAATTAAATAAGTATTTAAGTGAGTGATTGAGACATTGGCTGATATTACTGCTCATCTTGCTCTTAGTGTTGCTATTGCTATTAAGCACTTGTAGAGATAAGAAAAGAAAAGGGGCATAACTTACTGGAATCTCACAGTGTACCATCAGAGTTCTATAGCAGTCATTGCAATTGTCATAAGTATTACAACATAGGTAAATGCGTACTCAGCAAGAGTTTCTCATCCTCAGCCTTCTTGACATTTTGAACTGGATAATTCTTTGCTGGGAGAGGCTACTTAGTGCATTGCGTATTTAACAGCATCACTAGCCTCTGCTCACTAGATTCTAACAGCATTTCCGCTCCCCTTATAACAACCAAAAATGTATCCAAGCATTTCTAGATGGGCCCTAGAGGAAGGGGATATGAAATTGTGAGAACAACTACTTTAGGGGGCATAGATAGGAATAATTCACTATCTGAATACATTAGGGGCCTTTTTTGTTGTTTTGTTATTTTAAAATTCTTAGCTCTAGTGATAGAAATCCCTGCTAATTATATATATATTTAATCTTTTTTTTGGTAGCAGGAGTCGAACTTAGGACCTTGTGCTTGCCAAGCAGGCACTTGTGTCACTAAGCTATATCCCCAGCCTCTACTAATTATAGCCTCTATTCCTTCTCTCCTACTTATATCTTAAACTATATTAACCATCTCCCTATGTGTATATTAAATAGGATGTCAAATCAGGGTGCAATTTCATTATCCTATATTACTATTGTTTATATATAGCTTTTGCTGATGATGTTGCCTTATACTTTGCTTTGAGGATTAACCCTTGGATTGATCATGTAAATCACCTGGTTCCCAAATGTATAAAGAGAAATACATGATTTCCCAACTGCCTGTCAACCAAAGTCCTTCCATAATGGAAGAGAATGGCATTTGGAAAATTAGCATAAAATGAATGTATTACTTTGAAATAAAAGTTATTTTAGGTATATTTATATAGATTTACATATATATACATATATGTATCTATATGAAATCTCTGTCTTACTAAGATATTTGATGATAACTGGTACTACTATAAATAGTACAACCTTGACTTGTTCGTTTTGTTTTTCTGTTTATCAGTTTCCAGATAATGAAAACTACTGGTTGTATGTCTGATCTTTGTTTTTTCTTTCTTCAGACTAGAAGACATCCAATATGGAAACTTTGTCTTTTCCCAGATATAATGTAGCTGAGATTGTGGTTCATATTCGTAATAAATTCTTAACCGGAGCTGATGGTAAAAACCTCTCTAAGAATGATCTTTACCCAAATCCAAAGGTAAAATTTGGTTGTGCTTGCCCATGGATGTGGTATGTGAGAATAAAGTAAGCTATTAGGTATATGGTGTGACAAGAAAGACATGTATCCTATTTGATACAGGCCAGTCATTTTTAATCTAGAGAAAAATCTCTCACCTAATGTAATATTAAAGTAACGTTTGGTTTTTCTGTAGGGCAACCTCAACATTCCCATTAGAAATTCAGTTCTTTAACATCGATGTTTTCTTTAAAAAAAATGCGTTAAAACCATAGCTATAGGGGCTGGGGATTTAGCTCAGCTGCACAGCGCCTGCCTGGCAAGCTCAAGGTCTTGAGTTTGATTCCCGGTACCGGAAAAAAATAAATAAATAAATAAAACCATAGCTATATTAAAGTATATTAAATTTTTTATTATTATTGGGGTGGTGGTATGAGAGTATCATTTATTGGTAGGACTTGATGGAACTTATTCCAAGTGGTTTCCAACCACAAAAATTCCTAGAAGCAATCCTCTTTGGGAGCTTAGAGATTAATTTTCTTGCATTATGCCCTGGGAGGGACTTGTCTTGCTTTGACAGGTGTTGCTCTTTATATATTTAGTTATTAAATGCAAAAATGAGCTATTTATGTATCACAGAAAATCCCCAAGTTGCCTTCCAGTTCCCTGTGTTGGTCTTAAAGTGATAACTTAGGAAAACTTGATTTAATGATGTAGAACTAAAACTTTTTGATCTCAGTACTTTTTAACTCTTTAAGATGGAAGGTAAAGTAAATTCTAGGCCTTTAAGTACATTTTATTTTAGGAAAAGATTGCCACATTTTCTGTACATGTCGCCCTTTTTGCTCATTCAATACACTGTGCAGTGTATAGATTAGAATATATTCGCATGCCAGCATTTGTGAACTATTGATTTAGAATATTTTAAAAATCCTTAGTACCCCATTACATTTATACCCTTTATTCCAAATGTTCTCTTAAAGTTTAAATCTAAGAAAACCTTGGTTTCTAAGGCAGTAAACCAGTTTCTTTCAGTTTTTAAAAATATATCCTCATTCCCGGTATCGGAAAAAAACAAACAAACAAACAAAAAATATATGTGTATATATCCTTGGTGTTCCAACATTTCCACCCCATGCCTTACAGCCTGTTCTGAAAGACTACTTCTTTTGGCTAACATGGGTGGGGCTGCTTGAACTTGCTTTGGAAATACTTGCTTGCAACTTGTTAAGCAACACATCTTTACCATTTATTACATATGAACAAATTGTAAGTAGCATTGGGTGTTTGAAAATTTGGAATAATTTTGAAATATTTCAGCAGAGATTGAGTACTGTTGTTGCCCTTTTCTTCTTTGCATTCATTTACTATCTGGTATTGCTGAGAGATGCAGCATTAGAATCATGCATGAAAATATTAAAAGTTGTTTTTCTATTTTAGCCTGAAGTATTACACATGATTTACATGAGAGCCTTACAAATAGTATATGGAATTCGACTGGAGCATTTTTACATGGTGAGTTTACAATGAGGCAAAATAATCTTTCTGGGTTTTCTGTTGTTGTTGTTGTTTGTTTGTTTGTTTATTCCAGTTCTCCTGTTCACAATGCACATTGTCGTTTTGGACAAGAAGTTCTTGATTTTATTTTTAACAGATTCAAATACTTAAATGAAATTAATGTCAAATGCATAGGAATCTTAGACATAATAAGGGCTTATATGGATAGCTTTAGTAAGGTGAAAACTATAATAAAAGACCTACATGACACTTACAAATTATTGATGCTATGGAGTTGTTCACAGATTTATAGGTCTGTCTTCAGAGACTATAGTAAGCAATAGCAAAATGTTCATAGGTATTGTTCTCTTCTTAGGAAAGATTTTCAGATTAGAGTAGAATATATGCAGTAATATTGAAACAGTTGAAATGAGATAACTGAACTTTTAGCAAATTGGATATTTGTAGTAGGAAAGATCATTTTTATTAATCTGTTTTTGTTGTCGTGATCATTAAGGCATCATCTAAAGATGTTTTAAAAATGTAATATCTCTGGAATATCAGTAGTATGATTGCATATTGTTTAAAAATCAAGGAGTTTGCCACCTAGTTATTTTGAAACCTTGCTAAAGTTTACTTTTTTTGTCTATAAAATAGGGGTAGCACTTTCTAATAGGGTTGTTGTAAAAATTAAGAGAGAATGTATTCAAAATATCTAATATAGTGTCTGCTACTTAGTAAATACACAATTACCTTTTTAGTTTTTCATTTATTTAAAAATTTTATTAAGCACTTCTTTTTTTTTTTTTTTTTGTCTTTTTGAGACAGGATCTCGTTATGCAGTTCAGGCTGGCCTTGAGCTCACTTCGTAGCCCAGGCTGGTCTCATACTCACAACAGTCCTCTTGCCTCAGCCTCCTGAGTGCTGGGATTACAGGCGTGTACCACCACGCCTGGCTGTTATTAAGCACTTCTTGTGAACCTAACATTACTAATATTAATATCAACTCTGACTTTGTTCTAAGAGCTGTTAAGTTTTTTTCAAATTTAATGGTTATAAGTAAGTATAATTTGAGGTTAACTATAATTAAGACTTTTTATGATTGAAGATTTTTCTCATTTTGTCTAATCATTTCTCATTTTCTCATTTTGTGACTGTGTTTAGATGCCAGTTAACTCAGAAGTCATGTATCCACATATAATGGAGGGCTTTTTACCCGTCAGCAATTTATTTATTCATCTGTGAGTAAAGATTTATTTTTTTTAGTATACGTTCATATTTACATTAAGCTTCCTTAATGATATGATTTTCTTTGGGAAGTTCTGTCTTCTCGTTCTCTACATCTTCCCACATATACTCTAAATTTAAGTTCTACCAAACAGAATTGCCTCCAACTCTGACAATTCTCAGGACATAGGACACTTTCAGTTGAAGTTCTAACATGGTGTAAATCTAAAAGTTTACTAGCTTTATGCAGGATTTTGAGTTCTTAGGAGACCCTTAGTTCCTTCACGAGTATGTTATTTATTAAAATCTATAACTGTACCTTCGTATTTCAAGAACACTTATGTAGTATACATACTACATATGTTATGAAAAAATAGATTTTATGTTAGAAAAAATAGATTTTAATGCTATGAGATTATGCTTTGTAGTAGACTTCAGACTTGGTCCTTTAACATTGAGATGTATACCCAGAAATCTCTTTGAAAATTAGATGTTTGGGGGCTGGGGATTTAGCTCAGCGGCAAAAGCGCCTGCCTGGCAAGCGCAAGGTCGTGAGTTCGGTTCCCGGTACCGGAGAAAAACAAAAAAAAAAAAAAAAAAAAAAAAAAGAAAATTAGATGTTTATATTCTTGTGACTTTATATATAATTTGTAATATACTTTTTGATATTTATATTCAAGAGATTCATTCCTGCCCATCTGCCGGGTGAATGACTTTGAGATTGCTGATATTCTATATCCAAGTAAGTGAGAATTTAAAATAATTTTTAATTTCTAGATTCAATCTACCAGTTTACCTTCCCATTGATAAATATAAAAGAAAAACTTAATAGGAAATGGGTTTTAGAAAATATGTCCCATCTTTAATAATGAATTTTTACATATCCTATTACTGAAATTGTTTTCCTGTGTAGATCCACAGAAAAGTTTTTGATTAATTTTTCTGAACTTTAAAAAACATTGTTTAAAATATGGGAATACAAACACAAATAATATACAGATTTAATGTTGCATAATATATTAATCATACAATTTTATCAAATCAACAATTACTTTTTGCCATGAAGAAATTGTGTTTTATCACTAATAGTAGGTGTTTATTAGAATGTAAAATTTTCCTACCTTTACTTGCATGTTAAAATGCATTTGACTTTTAGTATTTATCCATCAAGTTATTTTGTTTTGAGAGATTTGGTGTGTTATTTTAAAATTTGTGTTTTATCCTCTTGTGGATCTCTTACTTTTTGTCTTGTGTTTTGACATATAACTTACATACAATAAAATCCACCAATTTTAAATGTAACTTGCATGATTTTTAACAAATGTGTATGTTATGTAAACACCTCCATAATCACAAGGAGTAAAACATTTTCCTGACCACCAAAAGTTCCTTCCTGTCCCTTTGCAGTAAGTCTCCTTTAGCTACCCCCATTCCTTGGCAACTGTTAACATGTCTTCAATTACTCAGTTTTGACTTTTTTGCAGTTTCACATAAATGAAATCACACATCCTGTACTCTTCTGTGTCTAGCTTCTTTAAGCCTAATGCTTTTGAAACTTATGTTCATTGCATTTATTAGTACTTTATTTCTTTTTACTTTCAGATATTCTCTTGTAAGTGTATAGCACAATTTTTTTAATCCATTCACCGACAATAGATATTTGAATTATTTTTAATATTGATCCAGTATAAATAAAGCTGTTGTGAACATTCTGGGATTCTTTACTTATGTTTACTTTAGGTTTTATTTTTTCTTTTCTTTCCATGAGTTTTTTGTTTGTTGCTTTTTTATTTTCACTATAAGCTGAGGTCAATAATTTGTAACCCTTCTTTGCTAAAATAAGAATTTAGTGTAAATTTTTTTTCTAGCCCTGCTTTAGCTGCATACTATAAGCCTTGACAGGTTGCATTTTCATTTTCATTCAGTTCAAAATATTTTCTAATTGTCCTTTTGATTTCCTGTTCACTCTCATATTATAACTGTATTGTCTACTTTCCAAAACATTTGGGGATTTTCCAGCAGTCTTTCTGTTACTGGTTTATAATTTAGTTCCTTTGTGACCAGGGAATAGACTTTGTATCATTTAAACACATTAAAATTTATTCAGACTTACTTTATAGGCCAAAATATGATTTGTATTTGTTTACTCTGATGACTGTAATAAAGTATTACCAACTTGGTGGCTGAAGATAACACACATTTATTCCCTTCTGATGGTAGAAGTCAGAAGTTCAGAGCTAGTTGTACTGAGCTGAATCCAAGGTGTTGTTAGGAGAGTACTTTCTCAAGAGCTTCTTTGAGGAGAAACCATTTCCTTGCCTTTTCTATCTTACAGAGCCACATTCCTTGCGCACCTTGGCTCATGGCTCCCTACTATCTTCAAAAGCAGCCACAGAATATCTTTAAATCTCTCTGCCTCCATTGTCACATTGTTTTCCATCTTCTGACTGTAGTGACATCTCTCTCTCCCTGCTTTACTTTTAAAACGATACATGTGATTGCATTTAGAGCCCACCTGGAAAATCCAAAATATCATATCCCCATGTCAAGATCTTTGATTATGTCTGCATAGCTCTAAAGCCACTCTTCTATAAATGCTGACATGTGTAGATTCTAAAGATTAGAACCTGAGTGTCTTTGGGTGCTGTTATACAGCATGCCACATGGTCTACCTTTGTTAGTGGTGCATATGCACTGAAAAGTGTGTATTCTGTGGTTGGGCATGGTCTTCTTTGATCCAGTTGTGTAATAGTGGTGAAGCTTTGTAGATCCACAGAGATTTTCTTCTAATTACTCTATTGAATTATTAATAGATGTAATCTTTAGCTATGCTTATTGATTTGTCTGTTTTGCCTTTTATTTTTTCTTTGTTTCTTATACCTGAAGCTCTAGTTTTGGAGACCTATACATTTAGAATTATATTCTTTGCATTAAACATTTTGTGCTTTGAGATATACTTTATTTGATCTTAGTATTGCTTTGTTGTTTGATTTTGTTTTTCCTGCTTAGATTTGTTCATGCTCTTGGACTTATTTATAGATTTTGTAAAATTTGAAAAGTTTTTGCTAGTCTGTAAAACTTTATTCTGTTCCTCCTTTTAGCAGAACACCACTTACACACTTGTTATGTTGCTTCTTTTGTCTGTCTGATCATAGATATTTAATTTAATTTTTTTTTTCCCTTTCTGGCCTTTATTTTAGATAGCTTCTGTTACTGTCTTTGATTTCACTAATTCTTTCTTCTCTATATCCAACTTGTGTTAATCCCATGTAGTAATAGTTTTTATTTCAGATATTTTTCAACTCTAAAAATTTGATGCGATTTTTTTTAAGAATCTTTCTTTTTGCTTTCGTAATTCTGATGTTTTTCTTTATCTTCCTGAATACCTAAAATATATTCCTGAAAGCTATTTTTACATGCTATTAGATCTACATCTATGTTATTTCTAGATATGCTTCTATTGATTTTTTTCTTCTTGTGATGCATATTATCCTGTTTCTTTGTATTTCTGGTCATTTTTGTTGAATGCTAGGTGTTGTAAATTTTACATTATTGGGTAACAGATTTTTAAAATTATTTTAAATATTTCTGGTTATTTTTATAGCAGTAGTTTCATATACTGATTAGTAATCAGAGGAGAATGTAAGTGGGCTCTTCTACAGACCTCCAGAACTCCTGCTTCTTACAGCTTGCACATAAATTCTAGTTTCTTTGGCCTCTCCAAACTAAACTCTACCTTCTCAATTCAGCAAGAGTTATCAGTTCTGTTTGTGTTCTCCCTGGCTGGGCAACAACCTGAAAACTCTTCCAAGTTGTGAGGTGATATATTGACAGTGTTCCCTCACTTGATTCTTTTGGGGATTATTATCACGTTGCCTGTGGTCTAATGTTGCAAGTTTCTTGCTTCATACATTTTTTCTGTTTTTCCACTTAAGATGAGAGGGTTAATCTGGTTCCGGTTATTGTGTCCAATAGTTATCTGTTTTTGTTTCTTATTAACACAAAGATAACCTTGACCCTTACGTTAAAAGAGATGTTGTGCACTTTGTTATAGTATATAGAGTTTTATATAACATAAAGTAATATAATGGGAAAGGATAAATTTTCATTTTTATATTACTGTGTGTCAAAGGTTGAATTCTGCCTTGCTTTATATTTTAGAAGCAAAACGGACAAGTCGATTTTTAAGTGGAATTATCAACTTTATTCACTTCAGAGAAGCATGCCGTGAGACATATATGGAATTTCTTTGGCAATATGTAAGATTTAAATATGTATATGTGTCACATATCAGATCATTAACATTATTTATAAGCTATTAATCAAGTTGCTACATGGCACTTAGAATTGCATTTGTTTTAATATTCTTATAAAGTTTCAGTCTGTAGTTAGTAGAAACCATGCAGTGGTACCTCGGTTCACAAACTTAATTCTTTCCACAATTCTGGTCACAAACTGAACTGAACAAGAACCAAATCAGATTTCCCCATAAGGTCAACATTGAACCTAACTATTGAATTTGATTTGGTTCTCGTTGCATTCAGTTTCTGACTGGAGTGTGGAAAGAATTAAGTTTGTGAAGTGAGTTACCACTGCACTTCAAATGGACATTTTCTTGTTAACACTGAGGGACTGGGTTTTTATTTTAATCTTGTAACTGAGGCCTTTTTTTCTATATTAGGAAATATTACAAAAGGAACAGTGATACCAATATTGACATTTTTTTTCTGGAGGTTTTATAGATAGTGTAGTACTCTTTAAATAACTGAGATATTTGCCTTTTAATTAAAGGCCTAATCGGACTGTTTGTATTATCCTTTTTGCCCAGTATTGAATTATATGACTCAGTGTATGTGAATCACTTTAACAGATAGAAACTCATTTTTCTTTCCTTCAGCAATTTAGAGAATTTGGGAAGATTATGGATCATTTGTATGACTTGTTTCCAGTTGTGTCCGTTTTTGTATGCTATACTCTTAGAAGCCACCGGAGTAATAGCAGACAATTAGCGCTTGAAGCTCCAGCTATACTGAGCTACATAAAGTGCTTCTTTACAAAAATCATGCTACCTCTCAAGCATCACAAATTCTTTTGTAAAGGTTACACATACTTGTGCGAACACATATATATACACACAGTTTTGTTTGGCTAATGATGCCTCATTTTTTTTTAATGGAAGAAAGGTAAAACAAAATTTCATAACAAAATAATAAAATAACAATAGTTAATATATTGCATATTGTTATCTTTATAGTAGTTATTGAGAATATAAGATATGGACATTAAAATTTTCTCCAATCGCTATTAGCACAAACCTTCTGTTTCAATGCACTAAGAAACACCAGTAGTAAAACTGACTTGCTATTTTACCTTTTTCTTTTCTGTCCTTTCCCTTTTCCCCCATCCTAGTTCCTTATTCCTTTTGAACAGTTCCTTCCCATGTCACAATATCTATTGTACATTTTAGACTTTATTTACTCTTTCAGTTTCTCACACCAGTGAAACAATATGATGTTTACACATGTGAATCTAATTTATTTCACTTATGAGTATGGCCTCAAGTTGCATCCATTTACCTATAAAAGTCTCGAGTTTATCCTTTGTGGCTGAGCAGTACTCCATTGTATAAAAATACCGCATCTTTTTTATCCATTCTTCCGTTGATGGCTCTTAGAGTTGATTTAGCTATTATAAATTATGCTGCTATAAACATGGGTACACATATATCACTGTGGTATGATGTTTTTAATTCTTCTGTGAAGATACCCCGACGAGGAATAGCTGGGTTGAATGGGACTTCTAATTCTAGCTTTTTGAGGAATCTCCACACAGATTTCCACAGTGTTTGTACCAGTCTGCACTCCCACCAGCAGTGGAGAAGGGTTCCTTTCTCACCACAACCCCTTCAGCATTTCTTGTTGGTTGATTTCTTGATGGCAGCCATTCTTTCAGGGGTGAGATGGAATCTCAGTGTTGTTTTAATTTGCCTTTCCTGAATGACCAGTGATGTTGAACATTTTTTCATATATTTATTTGCCATTTGTATTTCTTCATCTGAGAAATGCATATTCATCTCAGATGCCCATTTTTGGATTGAGTCTTTGAATTTGGGGGAAGGTTTGATTTTTGATTTTTTTCTTTCCCATTCTTTAAATATTCTAGAGAAGTCCTGTGACTTCATTTTTTAAAGTATAACTTAGACATCTCTGTGCAGCCCTCTATGGTTATCCTCCCCGGCTTTTGCCCTAGTTGGTTTAACTGTCACTAGTCTTTATTCCTGTTGTTACCAGTATTATGACAAGTTGTAGTTTTTTTTCATTCATATATCACCGTTCAAAGAGACAGAACTGTTTGAATTCAGAAACTATAAGTGAAGTCCTTTTGGAAACTCCCAGCACCTAGCACAGTGACTATATGGTTAGGGCTCAACATTTGTGTTAAGTAAGGAAATTCTTAATTTCATTGTCACCTCTATGTAAATTTCGTATTTCTGATGATGAAAATTGTAGAATGAATAAACATTTTGTAGTCTGTGTGATTTAAAAAACAAATTCATCCCTTTTCATATTGAAAAATGCTAATATGAGATTATTAAAATTGCCTTAATAGAAATCTTCTGTGGACAAAATGCAGCAGCTAAACACTGCACACCAGGAGGCATTAATGAAATTGGAGAGACTTGAGTAAGTGGGGGATTTACAAATAAATACAGCTTTGAAATGCGAAATGAAATGTTAGCAATGTATTAAAACCTTACAGTCCACCTTGTCTCTTTATTTTCCCTAATATATGGCAGAATATCTGTTTGTCTTTTCTAAAAGGAGAAAAACAATTTCTTCTTATATCTATCTCTTAATTATATTATTTTTGGTTACAGTGTTTTTGTTTGAAGACATTAACTTAGTTGCCTAACTTGTATCTGCAGAATGTATTTTATTTAGATGAGCAACAATGCTAGACTCTTTGTTCCATTAAATAGTTAATCTTGTTAAAATTTTTTACTCTTCCCAACTGTGTTTTCTTTTGGACTCAAAGGTTACATAGGGGACAGACTCATTCAGGTGTTATGACTCCTTGGCCTTCCTTAAATATATAGCAGCTCTTTAACTTACACTGAAGTTGTGTCCTAATGAATCCATCCTAAGCTGAAAATGTTGTTCAGTTGAAAACATTTAATACACCTCCCAAACAGCATAGGTTAGCCACACACAGTGTTGTAGAGAAAAGTTGTTTATCTTCGTGATCACCTGGCTTATTGGGAGCTACAGCTAAATGCCCAGTGTTACCACCTATCGCTAGCCTAGGAAAAGATAAAAATTCAAACTATGAAGTACAGTTTCTACTGAATGCCTGTTGTTTGTGCATTACTGTAAAATTGAAAAATCGTTAAGTAGAACCATCATACATTGAAGATCCTTTCTATTGACTTTTGAGCAGAAGGATTTGTTGATGTCTTTGAGGTTGCCTCTGATAGGTGAGAGCTTTTCTGACTTGTGTCTGATAAAAAATTGCTTTTGCAGTTAACAAAAAATTGAAAAGACTGGGGATGAGAGGCAGATACTAAAATTTAGCATGGTAAAAGACTATGATAAAGCAGGTCAAAAGCGACAAGCTAGGAGGATGTATGCACAGCACACAGTGCAAACTATTACCAGCTCTTAATAATAAAACCCATGTAGTACTCCTAATACACAAAGAATTCCTACAAACGGAAAGGAAAAGAGATAACTTATTAGGAATGTGGACAAAAATTAAAAGTAGAATTTACAAACCAATAAAAACAGATGACTAATGTATCAGGCAAAAACTAAAGTTAGAGCATTCATGTGAAAGAAATTCATATTAAACACGTGTATGTACCATTAGGAAGGAACCATAGAACAGAATAATACATGATACATGAGTAAGAGCTAAGAACCAGGGAAATTAGCATTTCCCTAGAGAAGGAATGCTATGTTTATTTTATTTGGAGTGAAGTTAGATAGGGTCGGTGTGTGCAGAGCTGAATGCATAGATTTGATGGTTGAAAATTGAAGGCTCTCAAATGAATTTTATTTTCTTTTTTAATAGAGGCCTGGTTATCTATTTGAAGTGGCCTTCATACCAAGGTATAAAATTTAGAAATAAAAAATTAGGTGCTCACCAGAGTTATTTGATGGCAGAGATTTTATTTTGGTCTTTCAAAGTTAAGAATAAGATAAATGTTATTTTAATCTATTTTGATTTGTTTAGTTCTGTTCCTGTTGAAGAGCAAGAAGAGTTCAAACAACTTACAGATGATATTCAGGAGCTGCAGCAATCACTGAATCAGGAGTTTCGTTCAAAAACGGTATCTGTCATAAAACATGTTAGAATTTAAAATAATATTGCAGCTATATAGGGACATGTAGTGGGCATAAGAGCATATATCTTTCAGTTATTAGACATGAAATTATACCTGTTTATGCCCTTATACTGAACATATCTTCCCTACTGAATATATTTCTCTCAACCATATACAAACATGATGGTTGGTTTTTGTTGCCAAACTTATGTGCAGTTTGGATGAATAGAACTTTTTAGGGTTCTCTGCTGTACATTGTCCTAGGCACTGTATCAGACCTTTGGAATATTTTAAAATTTAAGGGAAATAATAATCTCACCCTCTGTTACATACATGTTTCCTGAACCATGAACTCAAGGAGTTCACAATTTTAATGTTAGATCATTTTACTTTCTCTTTGTATCTTTGTGAAGCTGAGGGCATGGCATTTGCCATGGTAACAACCAAGTACTATGTGAAAATCAAAAGAGGAAATGAGACTTTCTGTGTCCCATCTGATTACAAGGTATATGAATGTATGCAGTGCCCAATATAGGTACACATATCTAATTAGTAAATGTGGTTATTTAACAATTCACTAAAACTTTTTTCATTCATTTTGTATTATTTTATCAAAGGGTTACAACATTTTTAGGGCAGAAATTATGCAGTTGTGTGGATTGTACTTAATAAAAGAATGCTTGTATGTTTATTTTGGCCTAGCCGCATCATGAATAGTTTGAGAATATCTGGCCTAACTCACTTAACTCTTGTTTCTTACCTTTATTTTATGAAAAAGCAGTAAGTGACTAAACTTTGAATCATTATAAAACATTTTTTTACTTTTTCCTGTAGATAGTTCTGCAAGAGGGAAATTCCCAAAAGAAATCAGATATCTCAGAGAAAGCTAAGCGTTTGGTGAGTATCTTTTCTGTTAACTGGTATTTCAAGTTGGACTGCAATGTCTGAAGGAGTATTTTAGCTGTGTGTTAAGATAATCAAACCTTTTTTTTCCTTTGAAATCAAACTATTTTAACTGTTTTCAATTTAAATGCATCACAGTTTTTTAAAATATCAAAACCACAGAAATTTGTAGAGAAAATAAGCAAACCATACAATCTGATATATAGTCTGCCAAAAATATATATGCACATTTCAGGAAAGAAAAAACTTATATAAGTATTTTAATAGTCAATTTATTGAGACACCATGAAAATCCTAACATGCATATGGGCAAAGCAGTTAATTAACCAAGAGTCAATGTCAGGTATATATTAAAATATTTGTACAAGTGTTTCTTTTCGTGCAGTGTACATATATCTTTTTGGTGGATGCTGTATATCATAGATTACTTCTCTAACGTACATATATCTGTGTAATTTTATATAACTGATATTTTATACTCAATATAGCTCAGATCCCCACTTAACAGTATCACTATGTAGTTATCATTAGTTTCAAATAGATCTTTCTATTAATGGCCACTTTATTGTATGTATGGCATTGTATATTTGTATATACTTTAATGTAGATCCTTTTATTCCCCTATTGACTTTTTACTTTTAATTCTTTGCTGTTTTAATAAATATATATGCATGTATATTTGTTAATATATACATACATGTGCATATGTTTAATTCTTTGCTGTTTTAATAAATATATATACATACGTATGTATATGCTGTATATCTCTGTTCATCAATTCTCCTTTTTATCAGAGAATAAATTTCTTAATTCAGGATTGTGAAGTGAAAGGAAAAAAAAATTTTAAATTGACCCATGTTGCCAAACTTACTTGGAGAAAAACACCAGTTTGCATCCTACCAGTAGACTGAGAGTACCCCTCCGTGACATCCTTGCTAAAACTAAATGTTTTTAGAATTTTACTAAATCTGTTATTCTTATAAGAAAAAAAGAAAGAGCACCTCATTTTAATTTGATTCCTTGAATTCTGGTGAATCTCACCATTTTAATGGTTTGTTATTTCTTATTTTGTGAGAAATATTTATTGCTATTTGTTTTATCTTCTTTATTATATTTATTTTTAAAGAAATTCTACAGGCTAGGGATTTTAGCCCTCAATTTGTCTTTCAAATTCATAATTAGAATGTTTATATTTTATGTATTAAAATTTATAGATATAGCCTTTATAGGTTTGGAGTTTAATCTGATGAAGAGAAAAGCCTGTCCCGTTAATGAAATTATTTATTAATGTTATATTTTCATATATACTCATTTCCATACAATTTTAATATTGAACTTCATATCCATTGGAAATTTACTTAGGTATTAACTATCCCTTATTTTTTTCTCTTTCTTTTTACTGGCAAGTACTTTATCTGAGTAGTACTCAGGATGGATTAATTTTATTATTCACTTTTTTTGGTTCTGTTTAAAACTAGGTTTAAAAAACAACTATAATATCTAGTTTAGGCTTTTAAAGAGAAAGAAATGTGATGAAAGTCTATACTACTATATGGAAAATGACCTCTAATTTTGTTGGGTATTAAAAGAGAGTAGGTAATATGGTGGTTTGCTGAATTCTAAGAATAAAGTAACAGACCACATGGAAATAATAGAAATGCCTTACTTCAAACATTTAGTTTTGGCCTAAATTAACTGATCAGAAGGTAAGAACTCCCTTCTTTTTTTTTAAGTTAAAAAATTTAGACAAATTATAGCAGCCAAGCAGTAATCCATTTCTGTCATAAAATAAATCATAGACACACAAAGAGAAAGAGGGAGAGAGAGCTATCAAATATGTATGAAAGGCCTCCTTTCCCAGCCACCTCACCTCAAAGTGACATTCTTCCACTTCCATGACATTTGTGTACACGTACAAAGCATACAGTCCTGTGACACTGCTTGGATGTGTTTTTGTAAAAATGTATTTGTGCTGTTTTTATACAAATGTATTTGCATTATATGTTGGCCTGTGAATTTGTTATTTTACTTAATATTTCTAAGAAATTTTCCATGTTAGTATATAGAGTGATAGTGTCCAGAAGCAGTGAGTTACAATATATCAACAAGTATTTGGGAAAGAGATGTATGTGAATTTTTGTAAATGTAATTTCAAACTTCAGCAAGATTTTAAGAAAATTCCTTAATTACACTTAAGTACCTTAATTCCTTAATTACCCTTAATTCCCTAAAATTATATGCACTTTTTTTTCTTAAAGATGCAAGGTAATGCTGTGTTGCTCAGATTGGTCTTGAACTTCTGGGCTCAAGCAGTCATCCTGCCTCAGCCTTTTGAATAGCTGGGACTATAGATGTGCTCTACTGCACATGGCTTCTTTTTTCTTTTTCTTCTAACTTTTATTAACTGATAGATAATCTTAAAAATTGTACATTTCACTGGAGTACTATATGTTTTGATACATGCATACACCAAACAATTTGATAATTGTTTATCTTACTGGAGTGAGGTGGTATATCATTGAGGCTTTTATTTGCATTTTTCTGAGGGTTAGTGACGTTTACCTTTTCTTTCATATGCCTGTTGGCCATTAGTATGTCTGTTAAGCAATGTTGGTTTAGGTCTGTTTGCCCAATTTTTATTTGGGTTACTTTTATTTTCTATTGAGTTTTTGGAGGGCCTTCTGTATTCTGAATATTAATTTTTTGTCAAATGCAGTTTGTGTATATTTTCTTCCAGTCTTTCGTCTCATTTCAGCTTTTGTTTCCTGTGCTTTTTGGGTCATCCAAAAAGTGCTTTCCCGTTCTGATATCTTCAAGTGTTTGTTATTTTCATCTAGTAGGTTTCATTCACTTTTAAAAGTCAGAAGAACAAAGAAATCTGTTTTGATTCAACAAATAAGTATTTAGCACTTTCTCAGTGCTACTACTTTGTTTAGATACTCAAAGAACAAGGGAACGTCACTACTTCAGGTTGTTCAGTTTGTTTAGAAATGCATTAAATGTGTAATTATAGTATTGCCTGTTATAGTATTGCGTGTACAGGAATTGTACTACTGATGGAAGGAAGAAATGTAGAGGGAACAGAAGTGGGATTTTCAGGGATCCCTAGAAGTGTAGCTTGCAGGCAGGAGTAGGACACTGATATTTTAGGAGGACCATACTGATCACAGAAACACTGTAATCACTTAAGGCCTCAATTGTCAGCTTCATAAGTTTAACCTTTGACCTGTAGAGAGATATAAGTGATGTGGTCAGAGTTTTATAACTCCCCCTCCACCCTTTCTCTGCAAACGTGAACTTAATTTTTTGTTCATTTCTAGTATTGAAATGCTAAGTCATTTTATTATCTTATCTGTTATATGAAAATGTTTTTCAATAGAATGAACTAAAATTGTCAGTGGTTACTTTGAAAGAAGTACAAGAGAGTTTAAAGACAAAAATTGTGGACTCTCCAGAGAAGGTAAAGAATTACAAAGAAAAAATGAAAGACACAGTGCAGAAGCTTAAAAATTCCAGGGTAAGTTTCTTTTTTATTTTAATGCTTTTCTATTAGCAAAATCTTGTTTAATCAGTTGATAATTTTCTGACTTTTGAATTATCTGTATTTCTCTTTCTCTTTATTTATTTTTTGATCCTGTCTCTAATTTATAGCTCTTTTTAGGTGTATGACATAAAGAATTATGAGTATAAGATATTTGTTCAACTATATTAGAGTTTGAGGCTTTGCTCTTAGTGACATAAGCAGAATTGCGTTTTTGTTACGAGATTGAGTTATTTCATTAAAAGAAAGGTCCTAAATAATTTTATGAATAATTAATCACATAATAATTATAAATCAATATGTATTATAAAAGAAAATAGGATGTGCATAGTATTTGCAATCAGGAGGTGTATGAGAAATCTGTATAACTTCTGATCAATTTTGCTATGCTTTTAAAATTAAAATCTATCTTAAAAGTAGTTTAAGAAAGAGGGAAAAGTGTAGGGTGCTTTGAAATAACATAATGGGAGAGTCTAATTTAGTATTGGAAGAAACTGATGAAAGTGGGAATTTGTGCTAACATTTGAAAAATGAGCAGGTTATGTCATTAAATCATACCTGAAGAAGTTTAGACAAAATAAGCAGCATATATGTTAATTCTGTAAGGTTGGAGGAAGATACACTCAAGACCACGAGTTACTATGTGAGATAACTTGAGAGAGATGGGACAAAATTAAATGTGATAGACAACATACCACTTTTTTTGAGATAATGTTTTTAAACTATTAAACAGCTTTTCTAATTTATACCTGAGCTTGTTATGTAGGTCATTCCTGGTAATTAAAAGTATTACATAAGAATAGACAAAAATTGCCAGGCATAATGGCATACACCTGAAATCCCTGCTACTCAGGAAGCTAAGGTGAGATGATTGCAAATCCCAGGATAGATGGGTACCTTAGTAAGACTGTGTTTCAAAATACAATAAAATAAAAAAGGGCTGGAAATGTAGCTTGGTGGTAGCTTGCTTGCCTATCATTGGTAAGGCCCCAGGTTCAATCTCCAATACTGGAACAGAAAGAAAAAAGAAGGCAGTGGCAATAAGGACAGAATTTAACAGGACAGAAATAGTTTTGAGTATTTACGAAGAATGGATGGTTTATTTAAAAACAGTTCTAGTTCAACTAGCTATTCATCTAGAAGAGTTGGTTGTATACCTTGCATCATTTATAGAAATAATCCTTACATTGATTGGAAATTTAAATTTAAGAATTTTAGAAGAACATTTATACAATCTTGAACTGTGAAAGATTTTTTAAATTAACTTTGGAAGCCCGAAAACTACAGAGAAAAGTACACATATTAGAACGAGCAGGATTTATAGCACATATGACAGGTAAGGGAATTATATCCATTATATGCAAAGAATGTTTAAAAATTAGTAGGAAAAATACAACAAAAGTGAATAATAATCACATTAGGCCTTTCACTGAAGAAAATCCAACTGGTTAATAAGGGAGGGCCAGGAGTGGGTTAGTGGGGACAAAGGAAGAAGTCTTTGTGCTGTTACGGAGTTGTAGTAAATATATGTTCATTTTGTAATTTTAGAAGAGGAATTAATCTTTGAAAAAGAATTAGCTATAGTAGCAGGTGTCATACAAATGAATAGGAGATTGTAAATGGATAATATGAATGTCCAAGCGTGATCAGAAGTAGTTTGCGAATTAAATGAACTCTTTTAATAGCATCATGAATAACCTTTAGCAGGTATTTCAGTGAGTAAGTTAGTAAAATTATGGCAGTTTTTCTTTGTTCAAGGATATCTGGCAATTAAAAGGCATAATTATATGTAAGTAGACACATGTCAGTAGTAGTCCTTTGTTACTGCCCTAGAAATTTAATTGTTCTTTGCTCTTAAGCTTTCAGTATTAAATGCAGAAATTATTTAAGAGCAAACAAATTGACATTATTGCCATTTCATAAAGGAAAGTATCAAACTGTGATCCCTATTTTTTTTTCTTTCAAAGCAAGAAGTGATGGAGAAGTATGAAATCTATAGAGACTCGGTTGACTGCCTGCCTTCCTGTCAGCAGGAGGTGCAGTTATATCAAAAGAAAATCCAGGAACTTGCAGATAATAGGGAAAAATTAACCAGTATCTTGAAGGAGGTTTGTATTGTGTGGAATTTTTATGTCTTTATCATGTAATTACTTACTATAGTTCTTTGGATTTGTTTTCACTTTTCGTTGCTATTTTCCTAAAGAAAAACAGGATTATTCTGCGACATAATAGATGAGCCAATGTATGCTAGGGAATAAGACACTTTTCTTTTTAAACATAGTAATAACAAAACCAATTTTAGCCTTCAGATCCAATGAATAATAACTAACATAGCACATTGCCATGTATATTTTGGAAAATGGTAAGGACTATTAAAACTTGTTTTAACAGTTGGAAATGATCTTTCATAATCAGGAAGCATAAAATCCCAATTTTATGCTACCCGACAGTGTACCTAAGATTCATGAAGAGATTTAAATTTTATGGCAGATTCTGCCTTGAGTAATGAGAGTTTTTCAGGGTACAAGTTTAAAAATCCTTTTTCAGTTTTTTATCCTCTTTAACCCAGACCATCCTCAGCATCACTAGTTACATTTGATAAACTTGTTTGAGAGAAGTGGGGATTTTCAGTAGGTGATGTTGCCAGTTATTCTCTCCCCAGTATGTAGTCTCCTTATCTGCCACCAAGAGTCACCAAAGAGTGAGATCTGCTTTTGTTCTAGTGTCTGCTCTCTTCTCTTTATTCTTGCTATCTTAGTTCAGGCTATGGCTATCGTCACCCTAGCCTCTTAGCAGATCTTACTATGTCCCTCTGTTCTAATCCCTGCTGACAGAATAACATGATAAAACTTGTTCATGTTTTTTCAGTACCCCTGGTATCTTTCTGTGATCTGCTTTGAACAGTCTGGATTTTTTGCTGGGCTTTCAGGGATTAAATTATGGTATCCCATTTCAAAGTTGTACTTTACTGTAGTCCAAACTTTTATTTTGTTTATAATTTTAAGTAGCTGTATTGATTTTAATTCCTTGTCATACAATGTAGAGCCTGCACTTGGAGGACCAAATTGAGAGTGGCGAGTCGGAACTGAAGAAATTGAAGACTGAGGAAAATTCATTCAAAAGACTAATGATTGTGAAAAAGGAAAAACTTGCCACGGCACAGTTCAAGATAAATAAGAAGCACGAGGATGTTAAGCAGTACAAACGAACAGTGATCGAGTATGAACTCATTTTGAATTTGGGTGTATTAGAAAGTAATTAGGAAAAGTTCATTTTTCCCCTCAAGATTTCTAAAGCACTGTTCTCTCAAGAAGGCATTCCACCTTTAGTTGACAAAAACAGATAAGCAATGAAACCTACCGTTCTCTGTCTAGGTTTAGGGATATTTTACTTATGAAGATTTTTTTTTTTCCTTTCTGAGATATCATAATTCCAATTTCTTTGTATAATTTCTCCAAAGGGTTCTAATACTGCAGCATATTTCAGTGTAACAGAGAGACAGTGGTTCAGAGTTGCAATACAGTCAATCATTTGGTCTGTCTTAGCATTTCTTTAGAGGAAAATATTTTTTTTTAATTCAAGAATCAATAATTTGCTAAACAGGGAGGTTATGTTTGTTTTACTTTTAGCCAATGTGTTGTAGGGGATTTCCGTGGTAGAGTCTTCCCACCTCAGTGCTATAAATGTGTTTTTAGAATATGTGCCTCTGATGTGTCTAGGATGTGATTCTTTTAGTCCTAAAGTGGATATCAGAGGTTGTCTGTTTCCTTTACATAGCCTCATGCAGATAAAGAAAAAGAGCAAAGCTTAAAGGTTTTGTATTATGAAATCACATTGCAGAATAATCATACTGATTCATGTTCCTACCTACAGTACATAAATGTGTATAACTGAAGAAATATAACTTAACAGTCTCCATTGTAAAGAAAATCTCTTGTGTGAAAGAGCTCGCTGGATGCCATGTTGGCATTATAGCACTGTACTTTGGGGTTTGCATTCATTTCCTTTTTTTTTTTTTTTTTTTGGTTTTTCTCCGGTACCGGGAACCGAACTCACGACCTTGCGCTTGCCAGGCAGGCGCTTTGCCGCTGAGCTAAATCCCCAGCCCCAGCTAAATCCCCAGCCCCTAGCTAAATCCCCAGCCCCCATTTCCTTTTATGTATTGACAAAAGTTTTCAGTTTGTCAAACACACAGTGACACATTCATTTTGGAATCAAAATTAGAATTGTTTACCTTTTTAGATGCTTAGGAAGAATTTTGTTAGCTGTTTCTGTTTTCCTTTAGGGATTGCAATAAAGTTCAGGAGAAAAGAGGTGCTGTCTTTGAGAGAGTAACAACGATTAATGAAGAAATCAAAAAAATTAAATTTGGAATTCAGCAGCTGAAAGATGTCACTGAAAGGGAAAAACTGAAGTCACAGGTGAGTATGTGTCTGTAAGAAATTAATTGCAAGTAATAGCATGGCTTTAAAAGGTAAGTCCTGTCACCTTCATTATGAAGTTTGTTTTTTAGTTAGAAATTGACTCCCGCAAGTCCTTTGCTTTTATTTCCACTTACAGTGCCTTTTCTGTTATCCTGTATGGTTAACATATTTATCACCTCCATTCCTTTTTTGTTACTTGCCTTTTTCCCCTGGAAGCATATAGCAGAATGTCACTGTTTCAGTAAAAGTAGTTGTTCCATAATGATTCTGAATTTATTAAATAAATGGACTTGAATAGTGATTTTTAGTAATTCCACTGAAATGTAACTGCATTTTTTTCCCTAATAAAAGGACCTCAGAATTATTTCCTAGCATCAATGTTAAATGAATTTGAGTTGTTAACTGGAAAAAAGAAAGAAAAAAAAATAGCTTAGACTTCCTTTGTGTTATGACACTTATTATTTTTGTTACTTCACATTACTGTATTTACCTTTTGCTTGCTTTCAGTATTTTCATCTTACTGCTCTCTAAATAATCTCGTGTAGTGAGAACAGATATCTTGCTCTCTACATCTTTCAAAATAACAGTATGTTGCCAAACATAAAACATTTACCTCTTTCTATTCTTTTAACTACCAATGTCTCAAATAGTCTATTCCTAATACATTTATTGCATCTCCACTGTCCCTTCAACTTTTGAGGTATGACTTATATATTCCAAGGTTTTTCTATTAGAACAGTTGCCTAAACTGCTTTGCCAGAAATCATGAAAAATAGCCATTGATCATGCAAAATCTCTTGGCCTCTTTTTTTCTCATTGTTCTTTATCTTGACTACATTAAAACTTTGCATCAAGGTTTCTGAAACACCTTGGTGGCTGATAACTGTTTAAACACTTGCCTGTCATGATCTTCCCTCATCTGTCTCAAGTCTGCAGAGATCCTAGCACCATGCTAAAAAAGCCACACTGCCCGATCCCCTTAGCTATCCCTGAGCACTCTTGTCTCCCCAAGACATGGTTAGCACTTGCATCTGTAACTAAGTATATACATAGTGAGTATTATCTCAAGCCTATCTTAAAGCAGGAAAGAGAGATGGGGGAGGGTTAGAAGAAGAAAAGTAAGAAAAAAAAAAAGGATTATGATTTCCCTTACTCTGTTCAGTATCCCATCCATCTTTTTTTTCTCTTCCTTTTCTTTCTGTATTCAAACTGCTTTTCTTTTCCTGCTTCTTAACTGAATTACGTGTTTATTTCTAAATAGGAGGGGGAGTAGATTTTAGGAATTATTTAATCCTACTTCTTAATTAAATCAAACCTGCAATTTTCTTTTGTTATCATACTGTCTAGTTACGGTTAGTTTGACCCATGCCTATCTTACATTTCTGTTAGTTTTGTGTATGTTACCATAACATTAAAAATTTCTTGGCAGTCATATATTATCTTAGCATGTCATGTCAAACCATGCTTAGAATGATGCCTTTATGTGTAATATCTTTTCCATAAGTATTTGTAAGACTAAAAGGTCATCTACACCAGGATGTTTCTTAAAATTGGCTCTGTGTTAGAGTTCAGCAAGGAAGTTTTAAGTGACCAAACCTCCAACTAAATACATTCAATTACCACCTGCAGCAATGGGGCCCATGGATCTTATTTTTAGCATGGCTTTTGGTAAGTTCTGTTTCAGTGTTATAAAGCTTATTACTACCCAAACTCTTCTGCTAGGACAGCATTAGTTCTTAAAAGATTATTTCTCATTTTGAATTTCAAATTTTCAATTTCTGTACTTTTGTGAACCCAGATCTCTCTGGAACAAATCTATACTCTTTTGCTTAACAGTCCTGCACACATTTGAAGATAATGATCATGGGTCTATTCAGTCTTCTCTTATTTGGGTTAATTAGCCCAAGTTTTCCAGCCTTACTTTATATAGCTTAGTTTTTAGATTCATTACTATCCTTTTTCCTATCTTTTCTTGTTTCCTTTCTGTCATTATACCATTTAAAATGTAGAACCTAGTATTAAACACAGTCTTCCAAAATAATGGTGTGACTAGCTTGAAATAACAGTGCTTCCATTAATGAAGCATAATATTGGGTTAGGTTTTTAGCAGCATCTTACCTTTAACCCATGTTGAGTTTATCATCTATTAAAACAGCCCTGTCTTTTTTACATCATTTCTGCCAAGTCTGACCTGGTAATCTAGTTGTACTTTAGGACAGAAAGCATAATCATATCTTCCATTATGCTATTCTACTATTTATGGTACTATCTATAGAAAGTACTCAGTAATATCTATTGATGAATTAATACCTACCAGTGAGGTAAATGGTTATACTAGCTGTGAACTCCATGGATATTGTATAATCTTAACTTTCTCTGATCTGCAAACTGAGATCATTAGACCAACACTGCCCAGTCAAACTTCCTGCAGTAATGAGAATGTTTTTCTGTACTGTTTTACTGTAGACACTAGGCACATGTGGGCCCTTGAGCCCTTGATTTATGTGAGGGACTACATTTTGAATTTGCCTTAAATGTAAATAGCTACATACAACTAGGTATTCCGTATTAAACAGTACAGAACTGGATTGTATGTGTGTGAATGTTGGAGCTGAAACCCAGTATCTTGTTCATGCTGGGAAAAATGCTCTACCAGTGATTTATACCCAAGCCCTAGCCTTTAGTTTTTAAAATATTTAATTTGAGTGAGGTTTTCACAATAAGACTTCATAAGAATTATTGTGACTACTATTATACAGGTTCTATATGGATAGAGAATTTAATTGGAAACTGTAGCATTTGTGAGGGATATGACCTCTGATCACTAAACATTTTGTAAAGGTTTGCTTAGGATTTCATATATTGTTTGTGTGAATGTATCACTGAAATTGGGCTTTCCTGTTCCCTTTATTTTTTGCAGCTCTGTCTGCATGATTGGCTCCTCCTTGAGAGGATATTTGTTCTCAAGAGAAAAGTGCTCCTCTGGGTATATTGAAATGATTAGTTCATCTATGTACACATTGTATGTCTTTATTTAGCTACACTTAGTTTTGATAGTTTTTTGCCAGTAGTATCTTTCTACCAAATTTATTCATCTTTCTTTTGAGTATGAATAAACATATACCCCAATAAAACTAGGGACTTAAATTGATCTATAGCTGCTGAATGTGCTGATATTTTTTATAGTGGCAATCACACAAGCTAGCAACTAATTCACCTTATTTTTCCTACAAGAGTTAAGAAATAAAGCTTTCAAAAATTTTTGATTTATTTTCCTAATGGTTCATTTTCTGTCATAGATGTAGTAATTTGGTGCTTGCTTAGGTCTTAGAAATGTAACCACACTCTTCTGTCTCTGTATTAGGATTTAATAACCACATTTGGATATCTGGAGAGTGTTTAAGATGTACATATACACCCATATAGAAATACATATATATGCTTAATATGGAGTTATAAGTAATAGCTCTCAAACTCTCAAACTTACATAGGTGGCAGAGGTACTAGAAATGGTGTTCTTTTTTGGAACACTGTAAATTCATACTAAATTGAATTATCTATGTAACGTATTCAAAATCAGGCAATGTCTAGAAATGGTGTTCTTTTTTGGAACACTGTAAATTCATACTAAATTGAATTATCTATGTAACTTATTCAAAATCAGGCAATGTCTACACTAGAGTTTACATAAAATAAACGTAGCAAAACTATAAGTTGAGGACAAATTTAATAGGAGATGTGCTCAAAATTGAGAACATTGTACCAGTATACTGCTTTTCATGTTCCACTGGAAAAGGGTTACTGTTTTATTTCAGTAATAAATATATTCTGTAACTTTCTGGAATGCTACTGTGTATTGTATCACGGTTTGAGAATTGTTTCGTCTAAGGAAAATGAATAATAAAAGGACATTACATTTGATAAATAAAGGAAATTGTGTACAAGCTAATGTATTTCTTGCTTTATTCAGTCTATAAAATTTGCTATGTCCATTTAAGAAGTTCTTAGCGTATCATACAGGTATATATGAAAGCCTGTTATTGCTCATAGTAGTACTACTTGATCAGCTTATTAGAATAACTCTCAGAATATTGATATATTTTTCAGTCTTATAGACTACCTCTTAAATGTATTTACTTATCTTTTAAATGGTGACTAGGATCAATTGCAGAGGTTTCCACAGTAAACTAGGTATTTTCCTAGTTTAACATGGAAAGATCCATAGTAAAGTTTCTTCCTGATTAATACAAGTATTTGTTTTTAATTTCTTGGCATCCTGGCCATTGTCACGTTTCTGCTTTGTTTACTCATAAGTAGCAGGCTGTTTGATGTGTTCATACAGTTTATGAATGAATTTTTAACAAAAATAAGCATACCTATAGGTGTGTCTGCATGAGTTTGAACTTTAAAATACTGTTAATAAATTTGATTGAAACTATTGGAATTCTTGTAATTCATTTCTAAACTAGGCTGTCACATGAAATAATTCTTATTCTGTTTCATCCTCCATTTAGGAAATATTTCTAAGCTTGAAAACTGCTGTGGAGAAATACCACGAAGGCATTGAAAAGGCAGTGGAGGAGTGTTATGCTCGGATAGATGAGAAAGCTGCTGAGCTGAAGAAGAGGATGTTCAGAATGTCAGCCTGATCAACACAGTTACGTGTCACCTCAGAAATAGCTTGCTGTTCTCTTAAGCTTTGCTTGGGAGGGAATAGTTAAGTTAATGTTGGTTCAGTCTGTTGTTACAGAGTCTTATAAGTGGCCATTTTGTAAGATGTGCATTCCATGTTAATTTTTTTTTTAATTTAAATTAGTTAAAAGCTATTTGTTGTGTATACTAGTTAGAGTAAAACAAAAACAGTTACTTTGAAATTAGTATTTTTTTCCTGTTCTTATCATGGCTGTTGTTACTTTATTGGCATGCAGAACTGTGGCAATATTGAGCCTCAGCTGTGCCCTAAGTTTTGTAATTGGACTCTGATTTGATTCTCGTAAGCAGCTCTATGTAGATAGTCCGTATATGTGCTGCTGAAGCAAGCACAAGGTAGATATTCTTATTACTACTTTATAAAGTAATTATGAAGCTCCCCAAAGATTAAATATCTGGGCCAAACTTGACTTAAACAGGTGTAATATGACTGAATCTCATATCTAAGACATTTTAACTCCCTGGACCTATCTCCATCGTTAGTTACTGCTCTTTCACAACCAAATTCCTGAAAATTATTCTATTCTTATGACTGTATCCATCATGGTATTGTGGCTTTGATCCATTTTTGTCTTCCTTACATTCTGCTTGTCTATCCAACGCTTTTTTTCCCTTTGTCTGAGGAACCCCACTCTCTTGGTTGTCTTAGTTCAATATTTGTTCCTTTAAATTTATTCTCCCAGAGAGCTTTGTTCTATTACCCCTTAAATGTTTGCTTTCTAGGCTGCTTCTCTCAGTGCTCATCCCAACCTCTATACGCCTTTGGAAACTTTTATTGATACCACTGGATTCAGTTGGGAATTAAATGTCAATATAACTGTTAGTAAATTTATGTACATTTTATTACATTTATGTTTCTTTCAGATTTCAGACTTGCATATCCCATAACCAGTAGGTGTTTTTAACCTATTTTGGCCATTTGGTGAAGCCTCTTGGACTCTGTCAGAATAATGTTTTGTGTGCATGAAATAAAATATGGGATCATAAGAGGAAATAATTAAAATCAGATATGATCAAATGTTTAAGAACATTGTGGTAAATTAGTATCAGTGACTATACTTTGGCTTTTGTTGGAAAAGGCGCTCATCCATCCTCTTATGCATTCACACCTGACTCCCTTGTATCCATTTGGATTTGCTTATCAAAAATTACAAGTGAATGTACCCAAGAATTTCACATTTCTCTTACTCATGTTTCAATTTACATCCTCATCATTTCAGTTTTCAGTCTCAAACACACTTACGTAGGCATGAGAGTATAGCAATCCAACATGAAAATTAAACTATATTAGCAGTGTATGCAGAGTCTTTTAGCTTCTCAAACTGTCCTCTGTGAATTCACAGGAACCATGGAATATGTTAAATTTCCAGTGGAAGCAGTCATATTTCACAAGGCAACATTGCAAACTACTAGTTCAACTTGGTTCACTGTTGCACCGTGCTATGTCCCTTCAGTGACATCTGTGAAGCTGGGTTTTTGGGGTTTTTTCTATGATAAACAAGTGTCTGAGAATCATGGAACAGGAAATGAAGGCTGCAATGTTTAATTGGATTCTAAGGGTTGAAAAATTGTGTAGTTTGCCCAATAGACATAGATGTCCAATTAGTAATTAGTTAAGAGTAAAATAAAAATATTATTTCAGTTTCTGTTTTTTGTTTTCTTATGCGATACTGGTTATTGGACCCTGGACTTTTGCACCTAGCTATACCCTTAGCTTCCCTTGTCCTTACTTAATTTTCAAACAGAGTCTCGCTAAGTTGTCCAGGACAGTTTAGAACTTAGGATCTTCCTACGTCAGGCTCCCAGAGTCCAAGTATTACAGGTATGAACCTGTCCAGCTAACTTACTTTTCTTATACATGCATAGTTAGGGCATAAATGCCAATTAAGGCATTTGGACTTTACTGCTTAATAAACAGAATTGCCAAGTATTTTTTCCTTGGGATCTTTCATTTACAGGATAAAGTAAGCATGCGTAAATTTCATGACCCTTCATAATCTAGCCTCTGGCCTTTTCTGTTAATGGCTTCTCAGGCAGTACTGGACGACTTCCGGTTTCCATACACTTCATCCGTCATGGTGTGTACCTTTTTTCCTTTTAGTTTACAGTGTCTCCTTTGTTCAACTACAAAATGCTTATTGTTCAAGATTCCTTCCAAACTCAGTTGTAATACTTTTTTTAAACTGTCAGTTTTTTCCTTCTTTAGTTATTTGTATTAAATGTTTAATCATTATATTGTACTCTTTATAGGTGTTTTCCACCTGTGTACACTTTGCATTTCTTGATGCTGGTGCCTGCATATTTTGCTATTTTTAGTCTAGAATAGTATCACACACCTGCTAGTCACCTAAATGTTTACCAGCCATGGTTCTCTCCCATGGCTAATAGAGCCATTTGTTTGTTGTCATGCTGGAAATTGTACCCAGGGCTTGCCCATGCTAGGCAAATGCTCTATTACTGCACTACGACCCCAACTCCAACGTGTATCTTAACCTAGTAAGAAACACTTATGCATTTTCTCACACCAAATATCAGTATAATATTCTGGTAGCTTGATATATTATCTGTTTTTGCCCCCAGTTTAAAAACTATGCAAAAGGCCCTTGGCTAAGTCCTTTAAAACTATGTGGGAAGTTTTGAAGTATAAATTATGAAATTTAGAGGGTTTTTTCTCAAAGCCTCCTTCACATATGACTATTTGGACCAAATAACCTCTTAAAGTTTCTTAATATAGGGAAATTAATACCTATGTTAGAGGAAGCACGTGGCACCAGGGGTATGGCATGTGCCCAGACCTGACTGTGAAGGAAATGCTGTGCAGGTACAGACTTTACTTATCTTTTATGAGTTCAGCTACTTAGCTATATGTAGAGCAAATATTTAATTTCAAGTTCAACTGACATATTTCAGAAAGCTAATCCATTTTATGACAAAGGAAGGGAAATTGAAATATGCCCCTCTCAGGCTAAAGTTAATACATCTGATTTTAGTTTAACGGGATGTTTCCTATTTTTAGTAAGACCAGAAAAGTTTTATATGAAATTCTATTTCAAATTCAGGCCTTGCCACCTATTTCAATTAAATCTGCACTCTCCCTGTGATTGAAATATGCTTCTCATCTTTCTATCCATATTGCCACCAGGGGGCATAACACAAACTTGCATAACTGATGCTAAAATAGCTATGGATCTTAAGGTTTCACCAAAGCTGAAAATTTTAAAGTGATAGTAACAATTAAAAAAACTTAATTGAAAGAATTTAGAGACAATCTGTTTAGAGTTGAAATATATTCCAGCTAATATCTTAAATTATTTTTAATTTTTTTATTACTTATACTGTTTGCAGTGCATAATGATTGGTACATGTACAGAACACATCCTGAGTCTTTCAAGTTTTTCTCCTCCTGTCACTCCCTCTCCCTCCATTTCTAGGTCCCCTTCCCATTTGCTAAAGATCTGTCTCCCCAATTCCTATTATCTAGCTTTTGTTTTGCTCTTTAAATTATTTATACTTTGGGTTTCTCATATAAGGGAAACCATGTGATATTTAAGCATATGTATCTGATTTATGCCAGTTAACACTGTCTCAAATGCACCTGTTGTCCTGTAAATGACTCAAAGGATGATTTCAAGGTTCTAATTCTGATCCTTTTCAAATTTATCTAAGCCATTCCATTGGTAGTTGGTTCGGGATTTCTAACCCAGATTCTTAAAACTGAATTTTCCTGACCAGAATTTGAGATACCATACAATGAAAAAGTCACTTAGAAAATGAGTCTGGGAGACCACCTGGCATTGATATCCCCATGATATTCTTTTTTTCTGATAACACTGCAAATAAATCTATACCACTGCTAACCTCGTCAAATCCATTATTACTTCCACCAGATAGATATTCCTAAAATACTTGTTCATCTTTCCATACTGCTCCACAAATCTTTGATACTAACTCATTTCAGGATAAGATCCAGACGGCAATATTTTGACAGAATGTAATGTAGTACAGTAGTTCTGAAAGTAGTGTGTGAAATTTGCCTAGAGTACTTGAACTTGCCACAGCCCCCAGAGATTTGATTTGGTAGGTCTCTGGGGTCCTATATTTGAAGTATACATACTTCTCAGTGATTCTAATAGCAGTAATCCTTGGAGATCCCTTTAAGAGGAAACTTCTGTGTGATTAAAAGTATAAACTACAATGAGTCCTCAATCCTTTTTGTAAAATGGAAATAACAAGTGTATCTCAAGCATAGAAGGATGGAGGTTAATTTTGGAAACAATTAGCATGGTTTCCATCACATAGGTAATAATCAAATGGTAGCTATTTCTGTTATAGATGAAACTTATAATGTTGTACTGGGAGCTAATTTGATTCATTTTGTATTTTCTGCACTTTGTCACAAACTAACATAGTGATGAATGGATGTTTGCTGAATTAAAGATCCTAGCCTTCGTGACCCAAATGAGCATAAGATCCTAAAGCCAAAAGTTCGGAAAGAAAACAATCAGCTTTATATTTATAATACAAAGAACAAAGACAGTGGCTTTATCCTGCCAAGAAGCAATAAAAGCAGGTATGCTCATGGAAAAGGTGCAAGCCTTCCTTGGCTCCACAGGGTGTCACTGCTGGCTCCTCTTTCCTGGTTAAGCACAGGTGTACAGATTGCAAGGCATTAGAAGCAGGATTTTCAAACTTCAGGATTCACCAGAATTACTTGGAGGATTAAATTAGATTACTACCTTAGAGTTTCTAATTCAACTGGCCTGGGGCAGGTTTCTAGAATTTGTACTTCAAGTTCCTAGGTGAAGCCAGTGTTACTGGTTCAGGGGTCACATTTAGAGAACCTTTGTGTTAGAGAAACATACCCACAACTAGGGTTGGGTTTTTCATCAGTCTATAGCAATGCTTCCCAAAGTTAGATGTGTTAAATTTGATGAGCTTACAAGTTACAAGAAAGGATGAGTTAGTAGGTCTGAGTGGGACCTGAGAGCCTGTATTTCTGAACACTCCTAGGTGATACCGATGCTGTTAGACCACAGCCCACATTGAGTACCAAAGGGTCCATAGGTGTCCCAACCTCTCAATCCCTGGTTCTACCTTCACATCACCAAATTCTTTGCCTTTCAAGATGGAGATGATAATGTAGAAGATTTGGTACAGCATCCAGTGCATATGAAGTGCTAGAACTTATGGTGGTGAGGTATTTAGTACAGTGGTTAAGAACGTGAGGTTTAAGGAAAGAAAAAAGAAGGAACATGAGGTTTGAAGGGACACACCTTTCCGTTCCATACATGCAAACTGCAAGCTCTGTGAACTGGGCCACAGTACGGAATGGCACAGAGCCTGGGGTTCCTCACTTTCAAGTTGAGGCATTTAGTAGCCTTTATTTCACAAGGTTGAAAGGATTAGACCACATAATAAATATAAAACACCTAGCACTCTATAAGTAGCTATTACCGCTGTCAAAATTTAAGAAACGGGCGACAAAAATGTCTGCAGCAGTGTAACATAAACTTATACATCATGGAAGAAATAGAATCTATCCAGAAAACAATACTGTACAGTACTCGTTGTGATCTACCCTCCAAACTAATAATGTTCATTTGTTGCTCTTAAGAAGTATCACTGGGCTCACGGACTCAGAAAATACTGAGATGCTTAAAGCCATGTTTTAAGACTGGATTTGTAGGAAAGTAATTACAGAAATATAATCCTTAGAAAGCAGTTACATTTTGTCCGGGAGGACAAATTTGTCCGTATATAAACAGGACAAATGTTTATATCTGTTGTGCTCTTTCAAGCCAGGGCTCCTAATTTAATTTGGAGCTATAGGACTCAGCACATAGTAGAAACAATATTCGGTGAACAAATGAAGAAGCCTTTCCACATTCAAATATCTGATTGGCTGTCCTGCATTAGTTTCTCCTATTTTTTTGTAGAAAGTTTTCTTTATTTCCATTGCCACGGAATATTCCACATTTCAGGAAACCCTTCAGTTCAGGGAAAACCGGGACAATTGCTCTCTATTGACATTTACTGTATATAAAGCTTGTTTCGCCCATCTTTTCTTATACCAGTGGCTGAGCTTTTTACTTTCAGAGAATTTAGGCTCCCTCTTTTTAATAACTCAATGGACATTTACTAAGAGTCCAATATACACAGAAGACAAGGTAAAAAAAATAAAATTCCTGCTCTCGAAAAGTATCCATAGAAACTATCAATTTTCAAAGACGCTCTTCATCTAGATATTATTAGCCTTCCCTGCCACCCAAATCCCTGTATTAATTCACTTGTGTAACTAATTGTTCTAATTGTTAGCAGTGTAAAACAATTATTCACACAATTTCTGAGGGTCAAGGCATCTAGGAGCAGTTTAGCTGGGTGCTCCTGGCTTAGGGAGTTGCATGAGATTGCAGTCAATCTGTCTGGCAGGGCTGCAGATATCTGAAAGCTTGGTTAGGGATATAGGGAGTGTTTTTAAGACAGTTCAGTCAAATGACTTGGCAAGAATGCTCATTTCCTGCTGACTTACCAGGAAGTCTCAGTTCCTCACTACACAGGCTTTATTGAGATGCTGGACATGGCAGCTAGCTTCTCCCAGAGGGGAAGGGGAGATAGATAGATGGGTAGATGTATGGATAGATAAATA